GATGAAGATAGCAGGTGATAAGGATATGAAGGATTTAAAGATTTAGGTCCCACCTTTGGTTTAGTAACTGGACAAGGAATTTAAAATGGGTGAATTTCATAGGGTGGGCGTCAAGATTTGAAACAAAATTGGTCTATGGGTTTTGCTATTTTACGTTGGCCTTAGGGGGCTTTACTAACGCCATCATTTAATGGAACGGTGAGCACAAGGGAATAAGAAAAAAGGCCCCTACTACCATGCGAGTGTCCACTGCTCCTGGGGAAGAAATTTTTGCCATATTCGACAAAAACACTGCTTCGACTTCGTTAAAATTTGACTAAAATTACCTGGGTACCTGTAAAGTTAACATTAAAAATTAAAATAGGTAAAACGATAAATGAAAATAAAGAATAAAAAAATATAATAAAGAAATTAAATTAAAAATGGGTTGCCTCCCATTAAACGCTATTTTTAACATCGTTAGCTTGACGACATGTTTCGGACTACAAGTTCTGCGAGAGACATTTCCACTTAATTCGTTTCTTCTATACACGAAATTTCTTTCTAGAAATTCTAAGATCATAAAGTCCCTTCATTTTACCCTTATAGCTTCGAACATTATCATAAACTTTTCTTCAGATATGTTTCAACTTAACAGGCTTGCCCAAAATAATCGATAAGTTGTTTCCTCCACCCAAAAATATGCTTTTCAAATATTTAGGAAGCAATTTTAATTTTGATTGTGATCCCTGCAAACTAGAATATAAGAATTTAGTTTTTGATGGAGTTAAGCACAAATTCAATTCAACAAATGAAATAGTTTTCAACTCCCTGGATTTATCTTTTTTATCCTCCGATTTATTGCATAAATTACAAACAAAGTAGATTCTATAAATTCATCAATAGAAGGTTTAATAACGCCAACAAAATTAATATTATGCATGTTATCCCGATATCTTATTGTTTTATAAACAACAAATTTTATGATCTCACCATCAAACTCCATGGTAAGAATATCTATTCGAACGTAATTTTTGTATGTTGCATATTCAGAAAGGGACGACCGAGGAGAATTTTAGAACCAGTGCTGCTACGATCATTTTCCATATCAATAACATGAAAATAAGCTGGAAAAATTAAGTCGTTTACCATTACCTTAACATTTTCTAGGAGTCCTTCAGGATAGATAATCGATCTATTGGCAAGCTAAATTGTAACTCTCGTCTCCTTCAAAGGTTTATGGAAATTAAATTATAGACGGAGAGAGGTATTACACTGATAAATGTGCCTAAATCGCACATAGCACGCATAATTTTAACCTTACCAATTATACAAGGTATTGTGAGCATACCTTGGTCCTTCAACTTTGGCAGAAGCTTCTGTTAGAGTATGCCTAAAACGTGCTCTCCCAAATTAACTTTTTCGTATCCGGTAAGCTTTCTTTTTGTTTTGTAGAGTTCTTTAAGGAATCAAGCATACATCAGGACCTTCCGGATTACTTCAAGGAGCAGAATGTTAATCTCTACCTTACAGAATACATCCAAAATTTCTTTCTCCTAGGTTTTTTTGTCTATTTTCACTATTCTTGAAGGGAAAGGTGATGGAACAATGTAGGGAGATGCCACGAAATCAATTTGTGATTCATCCCTCTTTTCCTTTAGGATTCTATGTCAACTTCCCTTCCTCTCTGGAAGTTAGCACCTACTTATTCTTCTTCCCTCTGGGATTTCGACTTCTCTTCTTTCTTCTGGGATTTTACTCATACTTCCTCTGGGGCTAGTTGTTCGACAATTATACTGCTTCGGAGGGTGATGGCACCTACATTCTCTCGTGGGTTAGCCTCGACTCGACATGGAAGTTTACCTTATGATTATAAGCGCCCGACAGTCTAAGTCAGTTGGCTCATTTGCTTCTTGAGCTCTTGAAAGCGAGCTTCAGTTCTATTTTGCAATGTTTCATGATATAGGGCTAACCTCTCAATAATGGACTCTAATAAAGATTTTCGTGGTTGATTCTACTATGGTGGAGGTGGCCTCGGTTAATAAGTTTGGTTTGGTCCTAAATTTGGTCCATAGCTTAAGTTCATATGTCCTTCCATACAGAAGTGTAAGTGGTGGCATAAGGGTTGTAAGGCCTCTGGGAGGTCCCGAAAAATTATCCATTGCATTTACTTGTGCGTAAACATCTCCTTGTAGCATCGAGTAGTAGTCCGTCAAATGATTTGGCATCATGGATATTCCACATAGCCTCACTGTTCCAATTTTTCTTACAACAAGTGAGTTAACTACTTCAGTTAATTTATCAATTTTACTCTCAAGGGAAATAGAACTTATCTCGTGAACCCGTCGGATAGGTTCACTTGAAAATTGTTGTGAATTCGCCTCCATTGTCGAAATTAATTACCTTACTGCATTTGGCGTCATACTTACTAGAGCTCTTCCACTGGCATCATCTATCATTTTCATCTCTAAGGGCAAAAGCCCTTCCTAAAAGTACTAAAGAAGAATTTGCTCGGTTAATTCGTGTTGCGGACAACTTGCACAAAGCTTTTTAAATCGTTCCCAATAATTGTATAGTGATTCCCCATCTTTTTTGTCTAATTCCTAGAATGTTTCTCCTCAATTCTCTGCCTTTGCTATTGGAAAACTATGTCAAGAAAAATTCAGGTTAAATGGTTCCAAGTATTAACAGAATTCAGCTGTAAATAGAATAACCACTCTTTAGCAATGTCGGATAAGGAAAAAGGAAAGCTCTTAATTTAATTTGGTCGTCGAAAACTCCCTGTGGTTTCATTCTTGAGCAGATCAAGTGGAATTATGTAAGGTGTTTGTGCGGACTATCACTGTAAAGCCCGTGGATGGTATAAAGAATATGAATAAGCCCTGTTTTGAGTTTAAATAGAGTTTTGCCTTGAGGGAAGACGATGTAAAGGGGTTTTTGAATAACGGGTATTGTGGTAAACTCTAAGATCGTCTGATCGGTCATCAGTTTTAGTGGTTGTGCGTGATTGGCATTAGGTGTAGCGTCGGGTACAAATTTTTCGGGTAAGGTGTGTTATTCGGATTGTGATGATTATGTCGAGTGTATCGGCCCTTTGTGAGAGGTAGTGTCAGATTGTTCAAGAGTTTGGTTATTCTTGTCGCCTTCTTCTTTTGTCTCGAAGCGTATGTCCGTGGATTCGTCTAGCTCGTGCTTTGATTTTCGAGTCAAATTCTTCTAATGTGTCCGGGTTTTCCTCGTCATAAAAAAACAAATTAATCAGTAATTTGTTATAGTCCCCGAAAATGGCGCCAATTTGATAGGACGTCATTTTGATGCCAAATAAATTATTCCTTAAGCTCAATAAAAATAAAATAAAATAGAGATTAAGGGTCGATCCACATGGACTATACAGATTGCTGACGAAGTGGACTTTAATTGTAAACTAGGCAAAAAAATCGCAACTAAAAAAAAATTGGGGTTTTGTTCAAAAGTAAAGAGTAAATAAAGAAATAAATTAAAGAAGAAAAATTGAGATGAAAATTTATATAGTAAAAGCAGCCTTAGGCTTTCACTTTGCTTCAATTCTATCATTCCTTTAATAAGATTTTACTCCGATTAAATGTCGTTTACTGTCCACAAGGTTCAATCCATGTAGCTTACTTTTCTCTTCGATGATTGATTTTCCCAAAACTATTTTAGAAATCTCAATCCTTGTTTGGATTAACTGCGACTATTGTTGTTAACTTAAAACAGTTTAAAAGAGTTGGAAAAGCTCGACTCTAATTATGTTTTCTCTATGAAAATCGAACTCGATCCTAATTTTCCTTAGCGTGACATCGCTAAGTGTGTTCAAGAGAATTCGAATCAATTGATTCTATAATTCCAACGATAAATCATGACAACATTCAAGCCAAAAGCTATTTTGAACTGAAAGCATTATAATTTAAGAAAGACCGATCACCAATCTAGTTTCCATAAACTTGAGAATTTAACCGAAGGTATGAAGTGCTTTTAAATCCGGACGACCAGAATTGAGTAATTGCTTAAGCTCTTGGCTTATTGAAAAATTAGCTAAGTATGATAGAAATGATACTTAGCATTTTTAAAGAAAAATAAAAATTGCGAAAAGTAAAAACACGAAAAAGAAAAGTAAAAACTTTTATAAAATGAAAACAAGAACAAAGAAGTTTAGACAACTTGAGATGTATTTGAAGCTTACCTAAGAGGTATTTATAGCTTTATAAAAGCCCTAAAAATGTTGAAGATAATTTCTAAAAAAATACAAAAGATTTGTTTTTGAAAATTGTTTGAATTTAATACTAAAAATAAAGATAAATCCTAATTTCGAATATGAATTTGCGGCTGAGTCTTTTGTCTTCACGAAAATGCTAACTTGACCTTCTAGAAGATGATGATTGTATGTCACGTCAGCAGAGTCATGCCCAAGTCAATCCCACTAGTCCAGCCTTGACTCCAGAAAAATAAAAACTGCATAATTTCGTTCTTTTAGCATAGTTTCTAGAACCCAATGTCCTACATAGAAATAAGAGAAAACGCTCAAATTAACCACATAAACCGACGAACAATGAGTAATTAACAAAAAAATATTAATTGTTTAAATCACTCATCAATGTCTTAATTCTTTCCTAAAATCTTTCTTTTGTTTTATATTTTAGCTATTTAATTTGATAAAAAAATCTCGAAAAATATGATTTTATTAAGGATTTAATAAAACAATTCTAAAACCTAAGTTTCAAACCTTGTAAAAATCTCTTTAAACCTATATGGAAGAAAAAAGTATAAAAAATTATGTAAAAGTTCCATACTTTAAATAACTCACGGTTAACCATCCTTTCTTTAGCTAAATCGTCAACCATTCCATTTCGTCAACGATAATCCAATTTAGCTGAAGAAAGGATGGCTGATCATTTAGTCTAAAGAAAGGGTGGCTAACCCTGAGTTATTTAAGGCAAGTGTTGGGAAAATGCAATTCGTTCATGGTGTTGGTGGATTATCGTTTGATGTTGGGAAATACAATTGAAAGCATTATCTCATCTATTTCCTCAAAGATAATCCACCAATGTCATGAACACAAATGATCCACTCAAATAACAATCTGGAAAGGGAAGGCATTTTCCCAACATCAAACGATCCAAGGCATTTTCCCAACTACTTTGTCTGAAGGGCTATCAACCACCGAGATAGAGGACATATCTCCTGTACATGAACCAGATCACCATTCAAATGTATCAATAATCAATAAACATCATCATCATTTCAGAAAATAAGGTACAGCCCCCCCCCCCCACACACACACAACACCCACAATAAAACAACAAAACAGTTTTCGGCCGACATGAAAATAAACAGTTCCATTTAGGCGATAGAGCCCCGTATAATACAATGAGATATTAGAAAGATGAGGCTAGCAACAACCAACTTTGAACTCCACCAAGACCCTACCAAATATTAAAATAAGACTCATTCTAAACCCATTCCGGATTTGTTCATTCAAACACCTTGTTGTAGCAGACATGCAAACCTTTTATCCATCAAGCTTCAAATATTCAATCTACTAGTTAATTCAACCGCAAAGAGCCAGACCCAACAAGACTATATGAAATTCACAAGATCGCCAAGTAGCACCTTTGACCTTCACCTAAGGGTCGATTAAACTTTTGATCCTTAGCGTAACCTGAAATCTTGGAATTTGGTGCACGTATTGTTCTTGGTTTGAGAACTGGATGTCTCTCTGTTTCGTCCCTAGCGTTCATGTTTTTCCCATCAGTCTTGCTTGATTTTCTTTTACTTGCGTTCATGTTCTTGGTTTAACTTGATAGTTACTTATTAGTTATTAACCTGAAAATAGTATCAAAATTGATATAGTCAAATGAGAAAAAAAATATTATGGTTAGTTTCTAAAAATACTTTAATTTTGTTATTAATTTATTATTTTGAGTTAAATAATACTATTTTAGTTTCACGGTTTCAAGTTTATATTTTGTTCTAATATATTTGTTTTATTATTTCAAAAATATTTTGAAAAACATGTTAAAAAAATAAGCAGTTGCACTGTCAAAACAACTAAGCGTCCTCCTCATTATGTTATAACCCCTTGTCATAAATAATAACTAATTTGCTAAAAAAAATGTATTTATAAGTTACTCCCTCTTTTTCATTAAAGTTATTCCTTTTGCGTTTTAAAATTGTCCTATTTGAATTGTCCCTTTGAAAAAATCAACAAATTTTACTTGGCACATTTCCCTTTCTACTCTTTTTCTAGTTTCCCAATAAATAAAAATTTAAATTTTCTAGAATAAAATTGTCATTTTAATTTTTTTATAACATCTCTTACACAAACTTTTTCTTCCTAAAACTATATGAAAAGTCAACAATGGACAATATAAATGAAACGATGAGTATATATGTTTTATCTTCTCCAGAATAATTTAGCTCTATTTGTATACTTTAAAAGTACATTATTTAAAAACAAAAACCATCCTTTTATTTATTGCCTTCGTAAAAATGAAGGGAAAATTCCATATGTGCAGTGTTTCAACGAGAAAATCAACTCAAATCATGATGGAGGGCGAGTCTCATAAACAAAATGGTGTTCTTCACAACTTCTCAGATTTGCTCGAGTTGTCGGCTTCAAATGATCTGAATGGTTTCAAATTTGCCATTGAGGAAAAGGGTCTCGACATTGATGAGTCATGCCTGTGGTATGGAAGGAGAATAGGTTCAAAGAAGATGGGGTTTGAAGAAAGAACACCCCTTTTGATTGCTTCGATTTTTGGGTGCAAGGATGTGGTGAATTATATTGTCAAAAGTGGTCGTGTCGACGTTAACAAGGCTTGTGGTTCTGATGGGGCCACAGCTCTCCACTGTGCTGTTGCTGGTGGCTCCACGCATTCACCCGAGGTTGTTAAAATCTTGCTTGATGCTTCTGCCGATGCAAATTCTGTTGATTCTAATGGAAATCGACCTGGTGATTTCATTGCTTCAGCTTTTCGTAACTCGAATTTGAACTCTAGGAAGAAGATATTGCAGACTTTGCTGAAAGGCGATGGTTGTGTTGGTGAAAGAGAGGGTCTGGCAGCTCAAGTAGGAAATGAGATGGAAGGGTCGGGGCAGCAAGTGGATTCAGTTCTCCGAGCTTGGAAAGATGGAAATGAGAAGAAAGATTATCCCTATGATCTCCCTTTTCCCGACATTAAGAGCGGAATGTATGGGACAGACGAGTTCAGGATGTATACTTTTAAGGTCCAGCCTTGCTCAAGGGCTTACTCTCATGACTGGACTGAGTGCCCATTTCTTCACCCGGGGGAGAATGCAAGAAGGCGTGATCCAAGGAAATATTTTTATAGTTGTGTCCCTTGTCCCGAATTCCGTAAGGGATCATGTAAGCAGGGTGATAACTGTGAATATGCACATGGTATTTTCGAGTCTTGGCTTCATCCTGCCCAGTATCGAACCCGTCTATGCAAGGACGAGGCTAATTGCACCAGAAGGGTCTGTTTCTTTGCTCACAACCAAGATGAGCTTCGTCCCTTATATGCTTCGACAGGTTCAGCTTTGCCTTCGCCTGGATCATATGGAGCTAGTGTTGAATATGGTTCGATGAGCCCACTTATTCCTGCCTCTCCATCTGTTATAAAACCTTCTACATCAACACCACCCTTGACTCCTCCTGGGACTTCTTCTATTAGTGGAGGGATGTGGCCGAACCAGTCCATTTTCATACCTCCTACCTTGCAGCTTCCTAGTAGTAGGTTGAAAGCTGCTCGAAGTGCTCGAGGTAAGAATTTAAACATAGAAATGTCTGGGGAATTAAATAGATATGGAGGGGTGAAGCCGAATAATCTTGAGGATATTTTTGGATCTCTTGATACTACCAAGCCTCCCTTGCAAGCAATGTCACTCGAGACTGCTTCTCAATTGCAGTCACTAACTGGAGTTCAAATGCCCCCGAATATAAACCAGAAGCACCGCGATAGCTACCCGACGAACCTAGCATCCTCTCCTGTATTGACATCTCCAACCTTTGGGGTTGAATCATCTGGAACAACTGCAACATCGATTTTAAGTTCGAAGCGGACCAAAGGTGTTATCGAGCGCCCTATTGCAAATCGTGGTTTAGGGTATTCTACACCAACATCTCCGGTGGGCGTAGTGCCTCCTAACCTTTCAGATTGGAGTTCCCCTGATGGCAAACTAGACTGGGGTATACAAGGAGAAGAGCTAAACAGACTAAGAAAAGCCGCTTCTCTCGTGTTCTAAACGGTGGAAGCAATTTGGAAAATACAACATTCTCAATGTCATTAAGCGGTGATGAATCAGAAATGTCTCGGGTCAAGTCTCACATGAACACCATCCCTTCTACCAGGCATTTTAGACTTGAGGATCTGTCGCAGTAGCAATGTCATGACAATGGGGTTCCAGATATGCTGATTCCCTGGATGAAACAATTGTACAAGGACCAGGATTAGTTGATTAGCTAAAAGCAAACTTGGCTCCCCCGGTACAAAAAATAATAACGAGCAAAACGAACAGATTTCTACAAATTTATTTATTGGTCAATTTCTGGAGTTTGTTCATATGTTATGTATAAGAAACTGCTGCAGTAACCAATCATAATCCGATGAATTCCCTCTCATATTCTACCAAGAACACATGCCATGGGCTTCAATATTAACATCAACATTACCAAGGTTCATCATAATTCTATCATTTGATCATTTGGATCATATATATAGTTCTAGAAGGAAGCTTCTCTAACAGACGCAAATCTACACATCTGAAGACTCATAATTCAAACATTAATATATCCATCATTTGATCGTTCCTGGCTACATAAGCAACGATAAAACAGTACCTCAATGCAGAAACCCTACTTTTTACGTTACGTTCAAATAATAAGTCTGAAATATATATACGAACATAGGAGTCGTAGACTGCATACTTGCCATCACATTTTTCGCATAGTCTTCTGATTGCAATACCCAGCCGGATGCTTCCAGCACATGATCCAATCAGGGTGGTGTTTCACCACCGCTGCCGCAAGCCGTTCTTAGTTGTGACAATAACTGAAACAAAGAACGAATCAAACGTTGAGAGTTCCATCAAAATTAGACAATGGCAAAGATTGTCATGAAGAGAAATTGAAAAACCTATCATCATAGAATCAAAGAACTAATTAATACATTCTTTCTTTCGCTGCATTTCTCTTGTGCTTCCGAAAAATCACCGTTGAAATTGATAATCGACTTAAATACAACACTATTTATAACATAATCAAATCATATAAAAAAATCAATATTTTTGTTCACCAAAAGAACCCATTATGCCAAATTGTTTCTTATTAAACAAAGTTCATATATTGTGATACTGAATTCATATAAACATTTCCATGAACTTCTATGAAATGTGGAATGTAAGACTGGATTTATATCTATACTTATTAATTTAATTTAATTTTACATATTATTTTGAAAAAAAAAACAAATCTTATATATTGTTTTAATATTTATCCATTTAAAATTTTAATAGAACCTTAAATTTTATTTGATGATCTACTATTAATAAAAATAAAATCTACCTCACAAGGAGGGGTTATGGATTAGAATATAGAACTCAGCTAGACCACTAGAAAGCTTAAAGGAAAGTCCTTGCTCACTGATATTCTTAAGCCTGTATTGAATTCATTTATCTGCCTCATGTGGAAGGAGGGAAAGTCGATGATTTTTTAAGGGAACACTTCCAAAAATAATCTTTGATTCATTGTGTTAAAAAGATATAGTTAGATTGAGATTGTCAGGAAGATTATTAATAGGAGAATCAGTGTTAATAGTAGTCTTTGTATAGATTGTAATTTGGTGTAGACTTGACATCAGTATATTGTGATTAATGGTTTGTCGATGGAGGTAATATCAGTTGGATGATTGTTGAATTCTAAATAATTTGGAGGGATAGATCTTGAAGGGTGTCGGTAAGCAATATAGCGTGCTCAAGTTTATGTTCTTTAGGTTGTTTTACTTATTAGGGTGTTAAGAATTTTGTAATGTGTTTTGTTTTTGTCAGGCATTGTGAGAATATGTCTATATAGGCATCTCTTATGTAACTTTGATCATCATTTTGTATGATCGTTTTCCTTTAATAAAAGTCATAATTGCTGAGCAAAAAAAAATGACAAACCAAAAGGCTTAAAGTTGGTCCTCATAACAAAGAATCAAATAGAATATCTTGCACGAACCAATCAACCTCAGTGATAAAGGAATTATTGTTATTTCTTGAGGTCTCAAGTTAGAGCACCATTAATACCATGAGAGTGAGCGTTCAATGTCAAATGATTAAGACTTATTTTGAGTATAAATTGCCTTGTACTTGTCGATAGTGGTTTTTGTCTGGAGTTTTATTTATTTATTATTATTATTAAAAAATTAAAAAATTACATTTGTAGACCCAATTACAACATCAAACCGGCCCAACCGGTTTGGCCCAAACCAAACAAGCCCATATGATCTAGTTCTAACCCAACAAATTGAAGCCTAATAGAAAGATAATTAGGGTTGTTGAAACCCTAATCACCCGCCACCGCCACCGTAATCTGTCAACGCCTCTTGTCGCCGCCACTGTTCTAGTCGGTCGATCCCATCATCTAAAAACCATAGTTTCAACCCTGTCATCAATCTCACATCAATCATCAAGGAAAATCAGAAAAAACCTTTTAGAAAAATTTTAAAAATCCCAAAACAAATCTAGGATAAATTAATGGAGACATAGGGGAATCATTTCCCTCATTTCTAGCTTCAGCTAAGCACATCAAGGATAAAAACCAGAGACCACTAAGAGAGAGAGCATTCGGTTTTGGGAAAATATAGAGAAAAAGCTAGAAAAAAGGGAACGAAAAAGCAGAACGAAAAAAAAGAAAATAGTGTAATCGAACCAAAAAAGCATACCTTTGGTAAGATCCGATCGTTGTTCACCTCACTGGAGCCGATAAGCCTTAATATTGAAGGTAAAGCTTTGATCTTTTGGGTTTTGGGTCTCAGTTTTAGGTATAAAAGGGGGTGGGTGGATTCAAGTCTTTTTTTAAGGTTTAGGGAGAATAAGGGGTGTTAGGGAGTGAGATAAGCCCTCATCGGGGCTTTGTGTGGTGGTGGCCACGGTGGATTGTGGCCACCGAAGGGTTTCTAACTCAAAGAGGAAAAAAACGAAATAAAGGAGAGAAAGAAGAGGGAAGGCCGAGCAGTTTGTGAGAAAATGATAGGGGTGAATGACCAAAACCCTATAATAGGGTATTTAAAGGGGTTATGAAACGCTACCATTTTGGGATGTTAGAGTTGCATCAGTTTAGCGCATGGGTAAACCACAAGAGGATCATTTCAGGTTTTAGAAAATTCGATTTGGTCACTGATTAAGAGTTTTTAATTTTGTGTTTTAAGCTCTTTATTTTATTGGCTTTATGTTTTAGTCACTTAATGTATAGTTGATATTATTTGGGAAAATTATTTGAATGAGCCTTCGAATTTGTAATGTTGTAATTTTAATCCATTGTTATATGTTATGAAACTTTCTGATTTTGCCCTTGTGTTCAGTGCGTGTTACATTTTGGTCACCATAAGCTATGCACTTTCGATTGCTTTAATTTTGGCATGCATTTCCGAATTATTTCATTTTGGTCCCAAACGTATGGGTTTATTACACTGTTAGTGCTTGTAATATTTGATTCTTTTATTACCTGCTTTGTTATTTAGTTAATTTGCAATAGTGCCTTAATATCTTGTTAGTCTTATAGTTTAATCCCTAAAGTTGTCATATTTATTATTTTAATCCTTTATTTACATGTTTGTAAAATTCTTGCTAAATTGAAATATTTTCCAATATTATTTTATACAAGGAATTTAGGGAAACGCCCCTTAACTAACAAGGAGTGTATCTCTCATAATTGCTCGAATAAAATAATATCTTTTATTTTTAAATGAATTTGTTTTTTTTCCTATTTTATATATTTGTTGTATCTAAAAAACTTTTAGGGTAATATTATTTTGTACAAGGAATCCATAAAAATACCTCCTTGACTTACTAGGAAGGTATTTTCGAGGATTGTTCGTACAAAATCATATCCCTTTTAATTTTTCAAAAGGGTCACAATTTAAATGTATATTCAAGTTTGCCAAATTCAACATTTAGATGACGTATAATCGCTTAAGTACCAATTTTGTGCATTGTGGGGGTGCTAATCCTTCCCCACACGTAACCGACTCCCAAACCCGTTTTAAAACAAATTTTTGGTTAAACACATATAATTTTTTTATCTTTTAAAATTGGTTTTCTTAAAATTATTTTAAAAGGGACTTTTAGGTATTTAACCTACCTAACCCAAAGGTCGATGGCAACTCCAAATTTTCCTATTTTTACATTTATTTTAAAACCAAACATTTTCCAAGATTAAGCTGGATCGCTCTCTACCATATCCCCAAAATGTTTAAGGACCATTCCAACAGATTGACGACTCCACTGGGGACATAATTAGAGAGTCAGGTTGTAATCGATTCTAAGTCATCTTTTTGATCGAAAATGGTAAATATGAATGATATTTAAATTTTGATCATTGAGTTTTATTTGCATCACATCACATTTTTTATTAGTCATACTAATGTGATTGGTTTACATGTTTCAGAATTCTAACCTTTTTGGTTGGAATGTTCTTGGATTAAGGCAAAGGATTGCCAGTTTCCCCTCACACACGCCGTAATTGTTTGATATTTAGAGCCTTCTAATTGTTCTCTGTCCCGTTAGATAGGGGTGAACGCTACGCTTACGTGAGAAAAATTATTTTTCTCCTCATGGGCTTTAGCAAGTAACTTTTGGGGTACATATGCCTCATGTTTACGAGTCAAACATTGAGTTTCCTCGTATGGACATGGGGAAATATATCCTCTCAAATTGACCTCGATCCGTTTAAGCCTATAATGGGTGAGGACCGAGGATCTGGCAGACTCAAGAGGGAACCAACAAAGGACAATTTGAGGACGTTGTTAGTAGTACCAAATTTCTGTCTGTTTTATACTGAATCTCTATTCGTGGTTCTTTAAAATTCATAAAGGGGAAACTCATTCTAAATTTTTCTTGAATCTATTTATTCACTTTTGCGATAAGCATGAGAACTAGAAAATTATGCAGTTAGGTTTTATATATTCGTACGAAGCCTGTGAACTAGAAAAATGTGGTTAGGATTTAGTTTCCAAATAAAAGCATGAGGGTAAAATGTTGGGTAGATTACATGTAGCTAAGGTTTATGATATATTTTCTTGTTATTCGGTTTTTCATTGTATATACTAACACAATTTTATTTTTTATGTTTTTTTGCATTGCATGATCATTTATTAAGAAAGGTGTTGGTTCACGAAGTGTTCATCAGAGTATAAGGCAGTCATAAAATGGACAAGAGTTTTCATAACAAAGAAATAAAAAATGCAGAAGTGAGGTCATGGTCTGAAGAAACTCAGAGGAAGAAAGGAGATAGTCTGAC